GTCACTATCTAGCACACGTCAGCGTCACTACTGGGTACACGTCACTAGCACACGTCAACGTCACTACTGGGTACACGTCACTATCTAGCACACGCTAGCATCGCTAACATCCTCATGACCGCTATGTACTGGGTCCCATCAGCCTTGTCCCTGGTGGGCCCAACCCTTCGGCCCCGTGCTGGACCCTCGGTCTCCCGCCTCTAAAGTCTCTAAAGGGCCTCAGCTTGCTTCTGCTCCCCTTCCTTCTCTTCCGTCTGTGTGTGTGCAGACACAGCCCGCCCACCCCTCACCCCCTGGCCCCAGGATCAGGACCAGCATCAGCACCCACTCCCTTCCGTGCGCCCTTCAGAAAGCACTGGGTCCTCCCAGCCCAGGCACTCCTTGGTCATCAGGAGTACGTCCCTGCCCCATCCTGGGGCTCCTTGGCCCCCAAGTGGGACACAGCAAAGAAGTGAGTCCAGTGAGGCAGGCAGGGCCCCAAGGCCAGGCAGGGAGGGGCCGCTCCTCAGGACCAGTGGGCTCTGCTGGAGCCAGGCCTGGGGCAGTAAGTGGAATACAAACCCACTTCCACACAAGGCCCACAATGGCCCCTTTGGGAGTCCTAGCTGAGGTCTTCTCAGTGCAGGCAGTGTGTGGCTTTGCCCTGCTCAGACCCCAGTGGACTAGAATCTCTCTGAGAACCTGACTGTGGTGGAGTCTCCCATGTGAGCTGGGGAGAGAATGGTGGGAGGGGCCTTACAGGGCTGTGTGCACAGCAGGGAAGGGGCCTTCCCAGACCCCCGTCCCATCCTCCAGGTGTCAAGATTGCCAGTTGGACCAGGGTCTGACATGGGCACAGCTAATGTGCTGCCCCTGGGTCATTTCCAAACCACTGGCGTGCCCCGGAGGCTGCCCACTCTGCCCTACAGGGCTACAGCCAGGCCTCTCAACCAGCCCTTGGCCCACAGCCTGCCTTGCTCCACCTGGTCACGGGCAGCAGACCCTGGAATCCAGGGCCAGGAGGGTCCTTGGCAACACTCCTTGGTCCCCCTGTGCCCCTCATACCTCTACAAAGGGAGGACAGGTCTTACCCAGACCCCAAGTGAGATCAGAGGGGACAGCGGCTGGTGGATTGGGGTGGAGCAGGCTGGCATAGCACCAGCTCACCCACACGGGACCCACACCGCCAGCTGGGACCCCCCGAGCTTGCAGGCACAGCATGGGAACCACCGACGGGTGCCCCACCATCACACAGCCGGAAACCAAGACCCAGGAAGGCTGAGACGTGACCAAGATCACGCTGCAGGATGTGGGCTGAGAGGGCCTTGGAGACCACGCCAGGACCCCCACTCCAGGAGCAGGCACGAGGTTGCTCCAGGCCCCGTCTCCTGAAGCCCCCCTCGCTCCACCCCACGTGACAGCTACAAAACCTTCCGAATCAGCACAAGAGGAAACATGCAGCCCGGTGTGGGAACCTGCTAGAAATACAGATTCTCAGCCCCAGCCCAGACGCCCTGAAGCAGAAACGCTGGGATGGGGGCAGCCCCAGGGGCAGAGCCTCGAGTGAGCCTGGACGGAGCTTTGCCATCAGCAGCTGCCCGGATATCCCGCAGGCGCTCCGCATCCCACCGTTCCACAGCTGGGGACCCAGGCCCAGGGCAGGGATGGGCCCTTCCCAGGCCCCACCACCAACAGCCAGGACAGGGCCTGGGCACCCAACCCTCGCCTCTGCCCCTCCTCCCGGCAAGGCGGTCCCACCCCCACCTCTGCTCCTGGTTCCTCAGCCCCTCCTCTGACTGCTGTGCTCAGGGAACCCACTTTTGAAGAAAGAGGCGGCTGCAGGGGTCAGGCTGCACTGCCACAGAGTGCCCGAGGTGGGTTATGAACGGTGCCCTCTCAGGACAAGGCTGGTCAGCAGCTCCCCCCAAAGCCGACCAGGAAGCGGGGCAGCGGCGCCCAGGAGGCCTCTCTGGTGGCTCCCTCCTCCAGCCTCGGACTGAGGCTGCCCTCTGCTGGGGCCGAGAAAGAAGGACCACCCCGCCTTCAGCTCGGGGCAGAGAGGGCTTGGGGCTCAAACGGCGCCCGCATGGGGAGCCCTGAGCGCTTGCTGAGAGTGTCTTGTTGAGAAAGACAACGCACGTGCTGTGGGCCGCGTTCTCAGGCCCTGGCTCGGCCACAGACCTGCGTCCGGGAACCGAGGCAGGCGGCTGGGGCTCCACCCGCTCCCTCCAAGGCTGCAGTGAGGCTGCTGCTCGGCTCGGCTATTCTGCACCTGACCGTGAAACAAGCCTGCTGCAAAGGGCCCCTCAGGGTGTGTGCACGCCGCTGAGATGGCAGTGCCCGGCCCTCCTTCAAGTCACCCAGCAAGCTGACAGGCAAGGCAGGCACCACAGGGCAAATGCCTCTGTGGAGAATCTGAACAGTAAGGCCCATGCTCAAAGCTTCAACAGAAACACAGGTGCTCTGGGAAGGATGTTTCTTGAGAGGGAGTGACCCAGGTTCTCCAGGGAAGTAACCTAACACGGTGAGGCCACGGATGGCAGCCAGGGCAGGCCCTCTTCGCCCGTGGCTGAAGGCACCACTAAGAGCAGGGGATCATGCCTGAACCCCCACCTCAGAGACACGGTCCACAGGGTCTGGAGGGGACCCAACACAGTCACGCGGCACCACCCGCCACACAGCCCGAGAGCCCTACCACCAGAACACAGAGCAGGGAACACACGCGGCCCAAGCCAGTCTGTGGGATGGAAGCTGGACGCTGGCATCCACACAGGGCCAACTGGAAGAGCTGGGCCAGGCACCCGGGGGCCACAGCCTCACCTGCCCTACAGCCTCTCCACCTCCAGCCTGAGCCCTGGTCACTGCTGGCCCCACCCTCCCAGCTCCCCGCTCCTGGCCTGACTGAGCTCTGCTCTTGGGCTCTGTCCTGTGGGGAAATACACAACTGGGAAGCCTGATGTTGCTCTCGAGAGGGCGAAACCTGGCCTGGGGGCAAATGCGCAGTAGGTCCACACAGAGGGAGAGATCCTACAGCTGGGCAGGGGAGAAGGAGGTGGGCAGAGTCAGGAAGGCTGCATGGAGGAGGGGCCGCTGCAGCTGGATTGTGAAGCCCACCAAGGACTTAGACATAGGGGCTGGGGTGGTGGGCTTGCCAGGTGCCAAGCACAGGCTCGACAGAGGTGAGGAGTGTGTGGGGGTGCAGTGGGAGAGAGCCTCGTCCCGTCCCCGTGGGCCTGAGGAAGGCACGGGCTCCGAGCAACATCAGACAAGGCTCTGGCCCGGGCTCCACCGGCAGGGGCCGGGCTGCAGCGGCTGACACAGCCAGAGCTGGTGCCCCGACTGCATGCCACCCCTGATGCCACACCAGCTGGGAGACCACCTGGCTGCCACTGCTCCCCACCGCCTCCCTCGACGGCACGACCCTAGGAAGTCATCAGAGGCAGTGCCAGGTCAGGGGCTTGGTCCTGCCTGGGAGCCCCCTCTCCCCACTCTCCCGTCCACCTCTACTCATGGGCTCCTTTTGTGCCCCCAGCTCAGGCAAGCTCCCTCTTTCCTGGTGTGCCCTCCACACCGGGCAACCCCACAGTCCCCCTTCGCCCTGGCAGACATCATCACTGGACTCCAACTCCTGAACCAGGTCAGCAGTCCCCATCACTGCTGTGTCACAGGCCAGGACATAGCTTGCTTGCTTACTGTCTGCTATGCGGATCGGGGTAAGGGAGGAGGGGAGGAGGGAGGAGGGAAGAGGGTGGAGGGAGGAGGAATGAGGGGACAAGGGAGAAGGAGAGGAGGGAGGAATGAGGGGAGGGGGGTGGAGGGGAGGAGGGGAGGAGGGAGGAGGGGAGGAGGGAGGAGGGAAGGAGGGAGGAGGGGAGGAAGGAGGAGGGAAAGAGGGAGGAGGGAGGAGGAATGAGGGGAGGAGGGAGGAATGAGAGGAGGAGGGAGGAGGGCGGAGGGGAGGGGGAGGAGGTGGGGGGGGAGGAGGGAATAAGGGAATGAGGGGAGGAGGGAAGAGGAATGAGGGGAGGAGGGAGGAGGGGAGGAGGGAATAAGGGAATGAGGGGAGGAGGGGAGGAGGGGAGGAGGGATGAGGGAGGAGGGATAAGGGGATGAGGGAGGAGGGATGAGGGGAGGAGGGAGGAGGGAAGGAGGGAATAAGGGATGAGGGAAGGAGGAAGGAGGGAATAAGGGAATGGGGAGGAAGGGAGGAGGGATGAGGGAATGAGGGAGGAGGGGAGAGGAGGAGGAGGTGAGGCATGAGGGCAGGAGAAGATGAGGGAAGAAGGGGAAAAATAAATGAGGGGGTGAGGGGAGGAAGAAAGGCGAGGGTGAGGGGATGAGGGCATGGGGGTGAGGGAGTGAGGGGGTAAGGAGAGAAAAAAATGAAGTAAAGGGGATGGAGGGAATGAAGGGAGGTGGGAATGAGGGGCAAGGGGAGGAGGGGGTGTGGGAATTAGGAGATACAGGGACAAGGGGGTAAAGGATGAGGGGGTGAGGGAGAGGGGGAGAAAGTGAAGGAAGAGAAGATGAAAAGAGGGAAGGAGAGAATGAGGGAGGGGTGAGATGAAGGAATGAGGGGAGGAGTTAACAAGGGGATGAGGAGTACGGCTGATGGGGGGGATGAGGCAATGAGGGAAGAATGAGGGGATGAAGGGAATGAGGAAGGGATAAGGTGTGAGGGAGGGATAAGGGTGAGGGAGGGATAAGGTGTGAGGGAGGGATAAGGATGAAGGAGGGATAAGGGAATGAGGAAAGGAAAAGGGGATGATGGGGATGAGGGAGAGGTGAGAGGATGGGGAAAGAATAAGGGATGAGGGGATGAGCAGGGAATGAGGGGGTGGGGGATGAGGGAGGGAGGGATGAGGGGGAATGAAAAGAATAAGGGGATGGTGGGGGGTGACAGAGGGATGAGGGGATGGGAGAAAGAGTAAGGGATGAGAAAGGGATGGGGGAGGGATCAGGGAGGGATAAGGGGGTGAATGAGCTTCCTGGCCAGGCCTTGACCCCCCCGGGACGGACCTCATGGTTTTGCCTTTAATCCTACGGGATGTGGCTGACAGGACTGGCTCAGTCACACGTGACAGACACATGAGTGAGCGCGTGAATGCTGCCCTGCCCGTGGTTCAGCGGGGAAGGACAGGGCAGGGCCTGAGGTCCGGGGTCTCAACGGGAGCTTGCCGCCCACCCTTCCTGACAAGGCTGGAGAAGCCTCAGGCCGTCAGAGCTGGATCCTTCTGTGGGGAAACGAGCCCCACGCTGCTGGGTGGCCAGGGTGACTGTGGGCCCTGCTGCTCCCCAGCCCCTCCTCACTGCCTCGAGAGAAGCCTGGCTGAAGGGCCGTGCTGACCTCCTCTGCTCTGGGCAGGTCACCCCCGCGGCCCTGGGGCAGGCAGCCTGGTGACCCTGGCTACGATGCTAGGGTAGGAGGTTGGAGCAGATCTCGCTAACGCACGGATGACGTCACACGCACCCTGTATGCAAACTCCGTGTGCACGCACATGTGAGAGAGACAGCCGCAGTGCTTCAGTGCAGCGCCTTCAGCGCAGTGGTAATGGCTAGGAGAAGAAACACACTCGGGACGGCCAGCGGGGCAGTCTCGACACTGACAGTGCAGCTCACCCTCAGAGAGTGACCCTGATGGCCCCGTGCTGTAGAGGGGACCATGCCGGCCCCGCCCAGCACCATCTCACTGCTGTCACAGCAGCGGGGCATGGAGGCCACCACCAGCCTCACTTTCCGGGACAGAAACAAAGCTCGGCCAGGGCCCTGCTCAGCCAATCCACAGAGTCAGCAAATGGCACCGCCGTGAGGCCCCAGGGTCCCTGCCCGCTGCAGACGTCTGGGATGAGACCCCGCACCACAGCCAGCAACTGCGTGTCCACAGGACTGCCCATCGTGGTGGTTCCCTGCCTGGCAAAGTGGGGCCCCAGGAAGGTGGCTCAAGTCCGATTCTCAGGACGCGGAAACCCCTCTCTCCTCCCCTCCGCATGCCCTGAGCTGGAGGTTTCCCACGCAGGCTACGCCCCAAGCCTGCTGCCCATGGGGCAGGGGCTGGCAAGCTCATTCTGGAATGGGGGAAAAGCCACAGGAGGGCCTGACTCCTCACTCAGGCACAGGGACACAGGGCCCCGAGGCCCAAGGCTGGCAAGGGATGGACAGTCCCCTCTCCTCCCGCAGAGCCATCGTGTGCCTGCTTTACAGGATGGAGGTGCTAATGTTTCCACCTAGTGGTGTCTGGGACCAGCCTGGCATCCCCTCAAACATGCAGAGGGTGTGGGACCGGAACACCGCCCAGCTGAAACTGGAACAAAATGCAGACCACCCCTGCCACAAGGTCACACTGGTGGGCCAGAATCTCCCTGTGCCCAGAAAACAGCTCGTATATTAGCGCCCAAGCTGGTGGGCCCCACAGGCCCAGATCTCTCTGAGAACGCGGAATCTCCCGGAGCCAGGCCAGCTGACTCCAGGTCCCGCTAGCATGGCGCCGCCTCCTCCTCCTGCAAGCCTGTCCGGACACACTGCAGGGAGAGGGAGGCCCCGCTCAGGCCTCAACGGCTGCACTCCCTCCTCCACGAGGCCACCACCACAGCTGTCCCTCCATAGGGCCTCTGCTGCACCCAGGTCCCAGGGAGAGCTGGCGCAGCGGCCTCCGGAAAAGATCTGTTCATGGAAAGAGCCGTGTGCGCGGGCTCAAGGGGCCATGCCACAGGGGACTCTTGTCCTGCCGCCCCCGAGCAGGCCTTCTGGGCACAGTCCCTCAGCCACAGCTGTCAATCCTCTGTCCTGACCCATCGCAACATGAGCCGACCAGGACGTGGCCTCAGAGAGTGCTGGCCGAGCCCTGCTGCCCTGGGGCTCCATGCCAGGAGCGGCCTCACGCCTCCCAGCTTCAGGCCTGAGAGGCCGGCACGTGGTCTGCAGGGGGCGGTCCTGCAGGGACCCAGGAGGGGCCAGCCTTGATCTTACACAGGCTCAAGTTCTGGATTAGGGACTTGGAGGCCCTCCTGCCCCAGGCTGGTGTGGGCAAGGGCCTCACCGTGGCTGGGGACAGGGAGCCACCTTGCCTCCTGCTGGACAACCTGAGTTGGACTCTGGTCTCATGAATTCACCACCGGCCGCTTCCACAAAAGGAGGCTCAGTGGCCACAGCCAAGGCCAGAGGAGCGTGGCTGGAGCCGCCGTCCCTCCTTGCTGGCCTGGCCAGGTGAGGGGCTCACATGAGGCTGTGGAATGTGCTGGGGCGTGAGGGTCTCCTGGGCTGGCTCCTGTCTGCCCTTCCCCATCCCCTGTGCTCACGGCTCTGCCTGCTATGGCCCCTGGCGGGGAGCGGGGAGCGGGGAGCAGGGCTGGACCTTGCAGGGTGGGGCAGCAGGCCAGCCAGAGCGTGCGGGACGCCGCCCCCTCCACAGGGCAGCATGGGGCCGGGGGCAGGCAAGGCTGGGGCAGGAGGAGCGGGGGGCCAGCCAGCGTCTACTGCAGGGCAGGAAACGACAAAGCAGCCAGAATCAGGAGTGGGGGCAGAAAGGACTCAGCCAAGAAGACGGGGAGGAAGCCATAAAGAAATCAACCGAGATTCCAGGAGAATCAAAAGAAAGAAGACGGGAGGGACGGGAGGACAGGTGGGCGCGTGTGTGAGGAGTCCAGACAGCTGCAGTGAGATCCTCAGGGGTGTGGGGGGCAGGGTGTGGGGGCGGTCAGCGAGGAGCAGGGAAGGAAAGAAGAGGCTGAAATGAAACCAAGGGACACAGATGATACCTAGGTATGTCCGAATCAAGAAACTGCCTGCAAAACACAAACAATCACACGGTTAGTGAGGCGGGCAGCACAGCGGGGGCGGGCGGGGCAGGCAGGGGCAGCGGCCGGCGGCCTCGGGCCCACTCTGAGCCGGGCAGGCTGCAAAGCGCGGGGCCTGGGGGTGGGCGGAGGCAAGGCAGCGGCAAAGCGCAGGGGCGGCCGAGGCCCCAGGCTGGAGTCGGAAGCCGGGGCTCGTGAGCCTGCGTGTCGCGGAGAAAGGCCACGGAGCAGCCCGGCCGGCCCGGGTCTGAGGACGCCAGCACCGTCCATGGCACAGGAAGGCCACGGGCCTGGTGAGCCAAGCCACAGGACGGTGTCTGCCTAGGGATGCCAGCAGAGGACAGTCCTCGACACTGCTCTGGGGCAGGGCTGGGGGCGCTTGGGGAGGCCATGCCCGGGCAACGCACCTCCCTCCTGTCTCAGACCCAGGGCCTTGACCCCAGCACAGGGCTGCCTCGACCCCAGCACAGGGCTGCCTCGACCCCAGAGCCGGCCCGGGACCGGCCTCACATCTCACAGCCCTCAGGGGCCGAAGACCCTTCAGTGACAGGAACAGGGTGGCCTGAGGTCCAGCCATGAGCCACTCCCTCCTGTGTCATCCATGGCAGCTCATCTTCTGAGGAAGACCTCAGAAACCCAGCCCTCTGTGCAGGGAGACAGTGGGGGTTTGGGGGTCTGGAGCCCCTGCCCACCCCATTGCAGGAGCTACCTGGGTTGAGGGAAGGTCAGAGGTCAGGAATATGGTAATGAGGTAATCTCCCAGGCTCCAAAGCCCGTCTCACATGGCAGACCGGCCCTCCTGGGCCCCACCCCCCACTCCAAGTCCTGGTGCCCCACAGCCCAGGCACAGCGCTCACACCTGGCAGGGGGTGCCCGTGCTGGGGGCTCCAGGCCTTCTCCATGGCTCACCAGGGAGCAATCTCATGGCTCAGGACAAGCAAGGCACGAGGAAGCCCCCAAGCCCCGACCCAGCCCAGCGTCTGCCTCACCTCCCCCATCCCGGACGTGTCCCCCCACCATGGCGCCACCTCCACATAGAACACCGAGTCCTCCCCACTCCTGTGGACGTGCGTGTAGGGCAGGCTCCCTCCGGAGGGCCGAAAGCAGGGCTGGGACCAGAGCCCCATCCACCATGCCAGGTCTCTGCCCACCCCCACCCCCTGCTGTTCAGCGCTGTGCCCACCCTGGCTACCCAGCTGCCCCCTGCCCTGGTTGCCCCTGCAGTATCTGCATTAATGCAGGGGCTGAGCCCCAAGAACCCACTTTCTGGGTGTTTCTGATGAAACCGAGCTCTGTCTGGACCCTAGTCAGAAGAATAGGAGACAGCGCCCCCCACCCTGGGACCCTCCTTTCTTACGACCCTGACCCTCCTTGCAGGGAGGCCCTTGAGACATTTTCCTACAGACACAGACGCCGGCAGGCCATAGAGACACCCCTGGCTGCAGCTCCGAGGGTCTGCTCTGGGCTTGTGCATCATGGGCCACGTGGAGCCCCAGGAACAGCCAGGACTGGTCACTGGAGCCCCTGCTTCACTTTCCCCAAGCCCCTGGAAGGCAGTGTCTGGGACACAGTGGAGCCCAAGGGACCTCCCCACCCAGCAGGGCTGCCTGGCAGTGCTGAGCCACCTGCCCAGGCCAACCTTAGCGGCCGCCTCCCTCTCCCATCCCCCGACCCCAGCAGACCCCAATGGGGCTGCCACAGACACCCCAGGGCTCCAACACCCCAGCCCAGGTGTGGTCGAGCTGGGACTGCCCAGACTGTGGGGCTTGACCATGCCAGGAGTGTGGAAAGGAGCAGCCTGGTGGTGAGGGGCCTGTGCCAAGCAGTGCCTGTGAGCGCCCCACCCTGGCTGCTCAACCCCTGGCCCCAGGACGCCTGCCAGAGGCCACTGACTTGCCCCCGGCAGTGTGGTCCTTGGATATACAGCCACTTGTCCCCACACCACCCAACCACGAAACTCCTGAGGACAGAATTCAGCTCATCCTCCAATCCCTGCACTGGTCCCTCTACTTGGTGACAAAGGAGCACGGGGATGCCTGAGCCAGCGATGAGGTGCGCACACAAAGAGCTGGGAGGTGCAGAGGCCGCCAGCCCCTCACCGTGTAGCTCCAGCAGGTGCCAGGAGGGAGGGCCAGGACAGCACTGGAGCGGGCCACGCCATGCGGCTGGACCCTGTGCCGGGTGGGCCGAGGGCCTGGCAGGCTGGAAGCACGCCCTGGGCCCTGTGTCCAGGGAGTCTCGAACTCACCGGTCATCTTGGGCCGGGCGAATGTATCCGGAAGAAAGGATGTTGAGAGACAGGATGTTGGGGTCGATCAGGGACTCGTCAGTCTCTGGAGTGTTTCGGATGCGGCCTGCAAAAGGGCAACGGGCCACAGGTCACATCTCAGGGGCAGGTGGGAGGTCACATCTCAGGCCTGGGAGGCCCTGCTGGCTGCCTCGGGCGGGAGCCCTGTCAGCAAGCCAGCTCCCCACAAGGTCACTAGAGCATCGGTCAAAGGTGGCACCGGGGGTGGGTACAGGAGGCCCCACAGGGTCCTCAGTGACCCAGGAGCCATTTGCAGTGACAGCTCTGCGGTGTTTCTTGACTGTCTCTCGGACACAATGAACACCCCACACATACACTGAGGGACACAGGTGCTTGGCCTGGAAAGCCAGGCCTTCCAGACCGCTGGAAAAGGAAGTCGAAGCGAGGCGCAGAGCGGAATGTTCCCACTTATTCTTATACCTAAAAATGGTGACAATAATGAGGAAAAGAAGGGAGGGAGGGAGGGAGGGGGAGGAGAGCGGAGGAGGGGAGGGATGGGAACGCAGAGGGGAGAACGCGATCTGTGCCACAAAACCTCTTCTTACAAGGGGCATGTCCAGGAGAGCTGCTGAGACGCATGCACTGGGGGTGTCTGCCTGGCTCTGGGAAAGACACCAGGCCATTATGAGGCAGGAATTCTGCCTGGCGGCTTCACTAATAATTTCTTGGCCAGACAGTGACAGCTCTGCTCCTTCAAAGGAGTAAACAAGCACATGTACGCTTTCTTTGTTGCGCCAGGAAGGAATGACAGCCTTCCTTCTCCTTAGCCACGCACGGACCAGATAAAACCAGGACCCGCTAGGATTTTGTGCTGACAGGTGCACACGGGGCCTGCCCCGTCCCACTGCTGGAATGTCGGCCCATAAGCTCCGCACGTAGGTCCTAGGAGGAGGCAGGTGGGATCCCAGCAAAGTGCCCTTCCCCATGCCGGGCTCTCTGGGTCCACGCTGGGGCAGGGCCTGTGGCGGGGAAGCGGCTCGGCTGCAGGGATCGCTGCCAGGGCAGAGCCCCTCTGCCCTCGGGGCCGTCACTTCAGCAGCGTGCAGCCTGCTTTGAGTCTGACCAAGTACCTGGCCCACAAAACTGACACGCGTGAGCCCGCTCGTGTGGGCAGAGTGCCGGGGTGGGGCTGGGGTCCTGACTCTCTGCTGTCCACACCTCCACTCCCTCCCCTGCCTCAAAGGGCCCACTCACCCACTGCTCATGGACACCTGGGGTGTGCCCTCGGCTCTCATCCCTTTTGCTGACCCCGTGCCCACAATCCTGTCCAACTCACAGGGCTGGTAAGTTCCATGGCCCTCTTGGGAGGGATGCTGAGCTGGGAGAAGGCTGTGAACCGTGAGCTGGGGTTCTGGGTGGGGAGTAGGAAAGAGGGAGGTGCCCCCTAGAAAGTGACCTGGCTGCTCTGTGCCCTGAGTCCAGTCACAGGGCTGCTCTGTCATGAAGCCCAGAGGCTGAGCCCAAACCCCTTAGCCTCAAGGGGGGTGTTGGGGTTCACACTGTATCTCCCCAAATCCCTTTCAGTAGCATCCCTGATCCCTCACCCCACATAAACAGACAGTCTGTTGCCTTTGTAGAAAGGAGGCAGGGAGAAGGTGGGATCTAAGCAGCGGGGCCTGAGGGGCGACAGACCCAGGCCAGAGGATGTGTCCCCTCAGCCCTGCAGATCCAGCTTCCCTCCCTCCTTCTCTCCTGTCTGCCTTGGGGGACGGAGACCAGGACTCAGCAGGTGGGAGCAGAGCTGCCCAGGGACGGGTCCTCAACGACCACGCGGCGGGCCCACAGCCACCATGCGGCCGGGTCCACAGCCACCACGTGGCGGGCCCACAGCCACCACGCGGCCGGGTCCACAGCCACCACGCGGCGGGCCCACAGCCACCACGCGGCGGGCCCACAGCCACCATGCGGCCGGGTCCACAGCCACCACACGGCGGGCCCACAGCCACCATGTGGCCGGGTCCACAGCCACCACGCGGCGGGCCCACAGCCACCTGTGTATTTGCTTACGTTCTACTGTCCCTCCATCCCCTCCTTTTAGGCTTGCCCTGAACAGCCTTGACGGGAGGGTCTGGGTGCTTGATCCATGGCTTCCCAATTCATGTGCAATTAGACGCAGCACTTGAAAACACAGGCATGCTCCTGGAACCTCGTGTCTACAGCCCTGCACTGGGACACAGGGTGATGGGTCCAGCCCCAGAGAAGCCACCTTAAGCAGTCACCCTGCCCGGCCATAACAATGTCCAGGGCAAGGGAGGGCTGGGCTGGCCACATGCCAACGGCACACTTGAACGGATGACTGTCTGCCTCCTTGAATGAAAACTGGGAAGACAAACTCTTTACACCTTAGCAAAGAAAATGTCTGGCAGACCCAAGAGTTCCAAACAAGAGGTCATGGAAGAAAAAAGCGTAAGATCCCTGGTGATGCTGATGGGCGGAACTGTGACCCGGGCATGTATGTGGCAGTCCTAACCGCCAGTACCTCCGAGTGGGACCTCATTTGGAAGTAGGGCTTTGCAGAGGTGATCAAGCTGACTACAGACGCAGTCAGCCTGGCGCAGGACGGGTCCCTCACCCCACCTGCCTGATGACCTGAGAAGAAAGGGCTCGGGAAGACACAGGCAGGGAGAAGCCTGTGAAAACACAGCGATGCGTCTACAGGCCAAGGGTGCCCAGGACTCCAGCCACCACCAGGAGCTGAAAGAGGTGGGGGGAGATTTTCGCCGACAGCTTTCAGAGAGAGAGCGCCTCTCAGCCACACTGATTCTGGACTTCGGCCTCCAGAACTGAGATGATAAACGGCTGCTGCTTTCGGCTACCAGCTTGTGGTATCTGGTCAGGGCGGCCCCAGCGCTCTCACACACTGATTAAATAGAAGTTCACGGCTCATCACCCAGGTCCAAGGCTCTCCTTTGCAGGTGAGGAGCTGACCCACAGGGAGGTTATGTGACTTGGCCAGGGTCACGCAGCAACAGCGGCAGAGGTGTGGTTAGAACCCGGGCACCCAGCTGGAGGTCTTGCTCTTCCCACCCGCTCGGCCCCGCCCCCGAGGCAGCCCCCGCCCGGCACTCACCCACAACCAGCTCGCGCACTTCCTTCCAGCGGATGTGGCTGCCCGTCTCGTGCAGTAGTGTCACCGTTATCCGTCGCTGGATGCCCTGCCGGGCCCAGGAGAGAGGATACAGTCAGACCGCTGGGGCGGTGAGGGGACACGTGGGGTGGGGGAGTGGGACCCAGGCAGGGGAGGGGCAGGGAGGGGCTCACACCTGGTGGAGGAGGAAGGTCCCCATGCACGGCATGCCCCCACGGTGGTCCACCACGGCTGGGATGTAACTGGAAGAGAGACACACATGAGGGCGGTCAGCCCTCCTCCCCACCCTCCTGGCAGCACAGGGCCCTGGCCCCACAGTGGATGGAGCAAAAACAGGGAAAAATCAGCAGCTCCCTCTGGCGAAGATCAGGTGGCCGGGACCATGGAGGCCACGGTCAGCACAGAAACCCACCAGGCCTCCTTGGCCATCGCCTCGCGGCCCTGCCCACTTCACTGGCAGGGTGTCCAACAGGGAGACACGTAGGATGGCTGGGCCCCTCTGGGCTGGATTTCTAAGTCCCGAGGGTCATCTGCTTTTCCTCGGCCCTGCAGATCCACAACCCAAGGCCACAGGATCCAGAAGAAATCCCAGCAGATGGGCTCGTCTGCTCCAACCTCTAAGGCTCCGTCCCACTCGGGGCAAGGACCTGAGTCTCCACCAGGCCCCACCCTGAGCCGCCAGCGTCAGCCCAGCTCCCCACTACCCTCAGAGCACCAGGAAGGCCCCCACTGGCCTCTGCACCGGGGCCCTGGATCCCGCCCCCCCCCGGCCTCCGGGCTCCCCCCCCCCTCCCCTCAGGTCTTTGTTCAAAAGCCCCTTGATCACTTGGTAAGTGCCACGTCTGCCGCCCCAGTCCCCCGAGCCACTCCCCTGCCATGCTGTCCTTGTGCTGTGGACCGTGGGGCCGCCAGTCCACGTGCTTATCTGTCTAGCCCCCCTCTTCCCCCCCGCCAGCTCCGCCAGGATGGCGGGAGCTTTGTCTGCTTCACTCCCCAGGCCCTAGATGAGGCCAGGCCCACAGGAGGTCTGCAGTGAACACCCGCTGGAAGAATGACTCTGGGTGGCCCGGGGCCTTGTCCCTCTCGGCCACTGGCCACACCCCAGGGGCCCCGCACCGGCACTCACTCGCCCACACCCCGGGGCCCCACGCCGGCACTCACTCGCCGTTGGCCTCCAGCTCACAGATCTCGAAGTAGACCAGCAGGTCATACTTGCAGTGGCAGGGCCCCGGGCAGGGCCGCGTCAGCGTGCTGAGCTTGGTGGCGGGCACTGTGGGGACAGGAGGGAGGCGTGTGCGGAGGGCAGACCCAACCCATCGTGTGCCGAGGGCACACTCACGGAGGTGTCAGGGCCAAGGGGCTCAGAGGCAGCAAGGGCACCACCCCTTCTCAAGGGAAACAACCAGCCAACCCCAGCCATGCCCAAGTTACACCCAGTCCTGCACACTCTCAGGCCTCTGCCCGTCACTCGGGTGCTCAGGTTCTCCATGACCCGGCTAGAAGAGGCATACGGCCATGCACGTGGGCACAGCTCATAAGGAGGACAGGGATCAAGACCCCAAGAACCTGTGGGGCAGCAGCAGAGCTCCTTGTTCGAAAGCCCACAACCCTCACAGCCCCTCTGCCATGCGGCCAGGGCTGTCACCTGCAGCACACTTTGGCCACAGCCTACTGCACCAGTCCGAGCACCTCTCAGCAGCACCCAGGCCTGGCCTGAGAGGCCCTGCCCCTCAGCGCCTGCTGGTCCTTCACTTGCGTCCAGCTCCTGGCCAACAGCCTCTGCCCACCACTGCCTCCTCTGAGACCCGGCACACAGGCCCTCCTCCAGCAAGTGCCATCTGAGCCTCCTCTGCCTCTCCCACAAAGATGGATCTGCAGGTCTTTCTTGTAGGCTGTGGGAGGGCTGAGTCACAGGGAGCCCATGTGCCAGCCAGAAAGCCTGTCAGACCAGGGACAGGCCCTGCCGCAGCTGGGGGTGCCCTCCCGAGGTGTCCTCAGCCTGCAAACCTTCATCTTACACGGTGCAGAGGACGGATCCTCGAAAGGCAGGCACGAGAGGCCGATACCCGGTCCCCACGTGCGCAGACCCAGTGCTACCACCCGCCAGCTGCAGAGGCAGCTTCTCATGCGGGCCCCTACCCACTGGGGCGCTGATGCCTGGAACACAGCCCCCCCTGCAGGAGGCTTCAGGGAAGAGGGACTCAGCCACACCTGCCGGGCCTCAGTCTGTCTCCAGCTCTCCAACCATGACCCTGGGTTTTGGTCTTGTAGGAAATAAACTCCACTCTTTCAACTAAAACCCAACGGATGTCAAGTGCTATTCCATGACGCACCTGTTCCCACAGGCAGGGGCTCCGGGCTCTGGGCAAAAGCTCTGCTAAAAACGCCTCTCCCACCGACCCACAAGCTCACTCCCACCTCCAGCCTCAGCCCCCCATGAAGGAGCTTCCTGGATTGCCTTTCACCCCCAAATCTCCACCTCTCTGTGTTCAGCGGAGATGCCAGAAGTCCCCCAAAACCCCCAACCCTCCTGCTGCCTTCCTTCCTCGGCTCCCTACGCCTCTGCCACCAGCTCCAGGCCACTCCATGGACGCAGGACAGACCTTTGCTCCATGGGACCCCGTGAGGCCCAACAGGCTCAGGGTGGCCCCAGACTGCCCAGCCCCATCACGGAGGACTGCACCCACTGCAGAGCCCAGCCCACGTCAGCACCCACAGTGAAGGGCACTCGCTGCCCTCAGGCGGCTCCAGAGACCCTTCCTACCTGGCTTGGACAGCGGCATGACCCGAGGGAAGTGGCGGCGTGAGGGCCTCAGGGGGCTGTGGAGGAGGAAGCACCGGTGTGAGGTGTCTGTGGGAGGCTGGGCTGGAGGGTCACGGGACAGAGGCCACAGGCCCCAGGTGCCCATCCTTGTCCCCTCCTGCCCTGTCTCCCCCAAAGCCGTTTGGGTAGGAGGAAGAGAACACCAGATCAGGACCGCAGATCCCACCACAGGAGCCACAGGAAACCAGGGCAAAGGTCAAGCTCTGGCTCCCAGTCCAGAGTCCTCCAGTCACTCCCAAGGACAGACAAGCACCCCCAAAACAAAGCCTTCACTGCCTGTCCCTTTCCCTGACACCCTGGAGGGCCCCTGAGCTCTCGGTCCTGCCTGACAGCTGCGGGGAGACGCACATGGGAAGAGACGCGCCCCCCGAGGCCTCTATGCTGTTCTCTCTGCACTGGAGTGTCCGGGAGGGGTTGGCCTGGCCCAGGGTGGACACTCCTGTCCCAGCTTCAGGGTCTAGGGTGAGATGCCACAGCCCCGCAAGTCTGTCTGAGCCCCCCATCTATAAAAGCCTTGGGAGTGAGGGAGCTAGGCTGGGCTTCCCCCAGGGGTGTCAGCTAGGCCCCTTTCCTGGGGTCCTCGGTGGGCAACAGAAGTGGTCTCCCTGGCATCCTCCAGCTGGCAGCCCCTGCACACTGCCCAGGCCAGCAGGAGCTGAAGGTTCCTGAGCAATGCTCACAAGGAACCCTCCTTAGTCCTGAAGGGGAGAAGCTACGGGCAGGCCCAGAGCTCTTCACTGCTGAGTCCTGCCAGCCTTAGGCAGAAGGCCTCCTGGATGCGCAGGGGAGGTGGGCTTCACGGGGCGCATGGGTTCTGCAGCCTCAAGACAGCTGGATGAAAAGATCTGGGCAGGGGCTGGGAGGACAGCAGCCTTGAACCCCCGAGCCAGGGTGCTGACCTGAGCACGTCCTTGCAGAGGGGCGGGAACGGATGCTGCTGGTAGTGGCCGAAGACCTCGAACACGATGGGCTGGCTTTTGATGTACTCAATGAAGGACTTGGTCACCTCCACTGCGATCTGGTGGGCAGCAGGTGGGAGAACGGGACGCACGGCCAGGCCACATTCAAGGGGCAAGGAGAGTCACATCAGTCAGCCAGGTGCTCCAGGCCCAGGTCTGGGACCCCAGCTGGGCCCCTCTGCCCACAACCGGCAGCAACCTCCTCCAGGCCCTTTGGCCCAGCCCCACCTCCCGCCACGTGCCCCAGGCAGGACTGCGGAGTGCGTCCCTTGGCCTCTCTCCCCAGGACAAACGGGAGCCACATGGTCAGCTGCTTTTCAGAACACAGAGCTGGGGAAGGGGACAAAGGGCAGCACTGGCCTCTGCAGGATGCCCCTTCTCGGGCCCTGGCCCACTCAGCAGGAGTTATGGGTTGGACTGTGTCCCCCTCACCAAATTCATATGTTGAAGTCCTAACCCAGGACCTCAGAATGAGAGTGTATCCCGAGACATGGCCTTTACAGAGATGACAGAGTTAAACAGAGACCCTCAGGGCAGGTCCCACTCCAGCACAGCTGCTGTCCCCAGGAAAAAGGGAGGTCTGGGCCCACACACATGCAGGGGGGAAGGCCACGTGGACAGAACGAGGAAGAGGCAGCCACTCTACAAGCCGAGAACAGATGTCTAAGAAGGAGGCACCCTGCCCACTCCCTGATCTGGGGCTTCCAGCCTCCAGAGCAGGGAAGCCACAGTTCTGACGCCCCCTCTGTGGCACTTTGTGGCAGAAGTCCCAGCTGGCTAACCACCGAGTCTCCAGGACATTAGCCCTGCCACATCAACGCTGGTGGCCTGGCACGCAAGGCCTGGCTCCCTGGGAGCTTTATCACTGTTAAGCACCTCTTTCCCTGCGGCCCCAGGAGCCCGGCTCTCCACCTTGAGGAGGAGCTGCTCACCCTAAAGGCCCCTCCTCTCCATCCTTCTAGCTGCCCGCTGTCAGCACTCTCCTGCCTGGAGTTTTTTGGGCCTCTGGGACATTGCTGGCACCCTACAGCCCCTGTGACCCTGCCTCCTTCCCATTCCCGATACCCATGCCAGAGCTGCCCTTGCTGACCACCACTGGCCTCGGTACAAACCCAGGCCCCTCTGTACCTGCAGCCGGCTCACCGTCTGCCCTCCACTCACCACGGCTGCTCCCGGGGACTCTGAGCTACCCCACCACCCGTCAATGATCCCCCACTGCCTAGAAATCGCCTCCACACCCTGCCTGGCACTGGTGTTCCTGGTGCTCAGCGCAACCCCGGCCCACAGCTGGGGTCCAGAAGAGGAAGAATGAGCCACGATCAGACGCCCTGGGAGGAGTCGGTCAGTGGCCGGGATGGGGAGAAGCGCCTGGAACGTACGTTCTGGACGTGGTAGAAGCCGAGTGGGGGGCCTCTGCCTGTGTTCTTCAGGGGCTCCGTGGAGAAGGCTTCGTCGTGGCGGTGGATGAAGCTGCAAAGCAGCGGAGACGCTTTGGCGTGGGGCGGGGGACCCAGGACAAGACCTCACCAGGTGGAACCCACCTCCCATGAGGGCGCTGGGTTGTGCAGGGCCTTCGGGCCAGGCCAATGCGGTTCCCAACATGGCCTGCCCTGCCCAGCACCCAGGCAGGGAGGAGCCTTGGGCACAGAGTCCCATGCAGCGTGGGTACACAAGGGTGGCGGGGCTCACTTGAACTGGCAGAAGATGTCGGCATATTCGGCAGAGATGCTGGACGCCTGCAGGACGGTCACTCGGAAGGTGAAGGTGCTGCCCAGGCGGAGGTGGTCCAGCGCCGCGTCCAGGGGCCCATCCAGGGCGGTCTTCTCGGAGCTGTCTAGGAGGAGGCCTTCTGGGGGCACCGCTGCTGGGAGTCAGGGAGACAGTCATGGACCTCTAGACCCTACTTTCTTCTGGCCACAGGCCTGGGCCAGGCTCTGGAACCAGGTCTCAGTGTGCCCCGCGCCCTGGGCAGCAGGGGTGAGTGACCCACCTGAACAGGTGTTGTTGTTGACTTCGTCGGCTGAGGGCCCCGAGTCTGCCCCCTGGCCCTGGCCCTCCACAATGCGAAGCTCCTCCTGGGAGGTTCCAGAGCGGGACATCCCCACCACGGGGCAGGACTCGGACTGGAACTGATCAGAGGGGACCAGAGTCAGAGAGCCAGGAGCCGGCGGGGAGGGCCCGCACACCCTGTCACAGGCCCACAGGAGGGCGGTGCCGCCCAGAGCCTGGGCTGGGACCCCTAAGGACCCACACCCCAGATCTGCCCCTGCCTTGTGGGGGGGTACCCACCTCCCCAGGCCTCAGTTTCCCCTGCTGTGGCTGTGCGTCTTTGGATTCTACAGCCTACGGCTATGTGAGGTGTGAGCTGTCCTGGAAATGACTCGCCGCCTGTCTCTTAGATCTGGTCTTCAGTTCAGCTGGACCCCCACCTGCCAGGGCCTCTTGCCCAGCAGGTAAGCTCTCTCCCCTCCCCCTCTTGGGCACCCCCAACACTGGCAGCCCCTCCAAGAGAAGAGGCGTTGGGCAGACAGACCACCCTTGTTCAGGGTTCCGGGTAACGGTATGGCCAGGTGGGCGCAGGTGAGAAGTGAGTGTGAGAAGGCGGGGCAGGGGCTGCCTGAGCGTGCGCTGGG